TCCTACCTAATTACTATAACATTTAATGCTTTCATTTGCCTTATAGAATCCATCAAATTTGTGCAATTATTATTTTACTAATTTTATTGTTCTTGCCTAATTTTTATTATTTTTGGGTCCGAGTTTTTGTTTCCAATCTTTCAACAATGTAAATATTTTGTGATTGTTTCTGTTTCTCATTTCTCATTTAATAAAAAAATAACATGTAATTTTGGGAGTAGATATTGTTGTTATTTCTATTTCTATTTTTCCTCTAAAATATAAATAAAAGCATTATTTTGTTTGAATTACAAAACATATAATAAATATTACAAAAGTAAATACAAGATAAAAATTTTGAATATTTAATCTTTTTTAGACATCTTGGATATGTAATTTAAAAAATTGAATTTCATACATAAAATTTACTTTTTTTTCCTTCTAAATTTAATATTGTAGAGAAGAAGAAACACGAAAGAATTACAAAAACAAGTTTTAATTTATTTCTTAAAAAACGGAAGATAGAAAGAAAAAAAAAAAACAGATACCAAATGCAGCTTTGTTTTAACTTATTAAATTTGAGAAAAACAAGAGACAAAAAATAAAAAATAAAAAATAACGTTACTAAACGGACCCTTACTTGTTTAAATGTACTTTATTTAATGTCCTCCTAAATTCATTGCAAAACACAATTTTGTCAAATTTAAAGTATTTGTTTTAAAGAAAATAAGCTTCAATAACATTACCAAATGATCTTTAAGCTAGTATTTAAACTTTCCTCATTAGCTATACCAAGCAGCCAAAGGAGGAAAATAGAATAACCACGACATCGAAGAAGATGACGAAATTGCTCATTTTGCCAACTTATGGGCTACAAAAGTTACCTCTCTTAACACGATGAAAGTTCGATAAATTCAAAATTTTGAGCTAAAGAAAAGATATCACCCATCCATGTGCTCGATTTCATCGAGGGCTTTAATCTCTCCATTGAGCATCTAAATCGTTTGCAAAGAATCAGACTCAACTTGGATCTTGCACAAATTCATCAAAATTATAAGTTCTTCAATCTACAACGAAAGGTATTTTCAAATATAGTGAATATACCGTAATTTTTTTTAATTTTCTAATGAATTTTTCAATTTACAAAACACATGTTTAACTTACGAACCATACATGCATTTAGGAATGTGCAAGTCCACAATGAAAAAAGAAAGTGTAAGGAAATTTGAGTGGATAATTTTTATAAAAATATTTGTAAATTTATATTTATTCTACAAAAAATAAGCATTACCAACAATGTTTCTTATATAATAATTACAAATAATTAGAATTTCATCTTAGGGAGCCCAAATATTCAAACATAATGGTGGGATTGGTAGAACCAAATCGACGTCGGAATGAGCTAGAGACAAGTCGAGATGAGAAGGATGAAAATAAGGTGAAGAGGGGCTGTAGGGCCATTCTGCCCGAGAGCACAGAAAATAACTGTGGGATTTTGAGAGGTTTTGGCAGCACAACAGAGGTAGCAGCTCGGGTATTGTCAACACAGAAATCTTGATTATTCGGTGGGGTGTTTTTCATTCATGTACCTAAGTATATTGTGTGAAATAATGAGAAGTTAGGGACTTTTGTTGGGACCTCTAGAGAGTGAATATCTCTAGGAGTTATTAGAGCGTTTGTATTCAATCTAAATTTAGTACGAAATCCACCTCTGAACAGTAGATTGGACGTAGCATATAGTTGGGGTTCACAGTATAAGTTTTTGTGTCATTTTCTGCTTTTTCTTAACTTCTCGTATATTATTGTGTAATTGACTTTATAATTTATCTGAATAATTGTGAAAGAGGAAATTGTTTGGATAGACACCTGAAGGAAAAATAATCTCAAATTAAGCAATAAATATCCAAGCCAAGCTAAAAGGCATCACACATTATACACAATTGTTTAATAATCTTATCTCAATTCTGAAATTTTTAAAATATTTATTTTAGTCCTCAAACTTTTAAAAGGTAACCACTTTGATCCTTGAACTTTTTAAAGATGATCATTTTCTATATTATTTTTTTACCTAATATCCACTTATAATATTTTTCCTTTAATTTATGTGGTATGTAGTTTGGATACATACGTTAACACATTAATATACCTACTAAATCCGTGTTATTAATTTGGTAAAATCAAAATAAAGATAGGAATTAAAATAGTAATTATTGTTTTAATTTCAAAGACTAAATCGACATTCTTAAAGTTCAGAAAATGGAACAAACTTGAAAGTTTACTGCTAAAAATAGAATTTTACTTTCATTGTAAAAGTTGGTGAAAATAAAATAGAATTTTGAAAATTAAGATCCCATTTAATCACTATTTCATTTTTTATTTTTATGATTTTAAAAATTATGCTCCGAATGATTAACTTTATTTTATTTCTTAAAGTAGCTGAAAAATTCAATAACTGTTTTTTTTTTACTAACATAACTAATTTTAAAAGTACTTTCAAATTATCTGCAAACAAATAATTCCTACGTTTAGGGTATTGCTTCTTACCAAGATTAGAATATCACTTCTTATAAATGTAGCTTTTTTGCTGAAGTTTTATTTTGTACCGAAGCCATAAGAGAATTGAATGATTGTGGGCAATGTGTAAATAAATGTATCTGCATCTAGTGTATCTGCATCTAGTGAGTTTAATGACGTGTAATTTTAAATAACCATTATTAGGTAGAAAAATAGTCATCGGTAATATAACGAATGAGATCTCCATTGTAATAAAAATACTAGACGTAGTCTCGAGATTGGAATACACCAATATAAACTAAGTATTTTTATCCCCATCTCTTATTCCTTAAAATTTAACCTACAAGAAGATCAATTATGGTATAATTTTTCCTTAAGCATTAATATAATATAAACACGTGGAAATCATTTAATTACCCTTCTAAAAGACTAATTTAAAACAAAAATACTGAAAAAAGAAGACGACTCATTAGAGATGGAAAATGATAACTATTTACAACCTCTCTCTCTCTCTCTGGCATTAAACTGCTTTATTTATTACAGATAAAACAGAGAAATACTATTATTGTAATTAATATAATAAAAAGTAATATTGGAGATTAGGAAGTGAAAAGAAAAAAAGATTATTCAATTAAGGGAAAGAAAAGTTCTGGGCCTTGTTTCAGGAGGCCCAATGAACAACTCTGTCTCCACCTCTGAAATTGGGCTGCTGCTTTCTGTATAATTTCCCAAATTCTCTCCTTTTTGCCCTTCCTTTTCTCCCCCCACTGGCTCTCTCTCCCACTGTAAACCCAAAAATATAATAATAATAATAATAAATAAATAAATAAATATTGTAATGATTTTAACATTGGGCTAAGAAATGAAATGAGATTTTACAGAAATGAAAAAAACATATCAAATAAAGAACACAATATAATTTTGAAAACCAAAATGATTATCAAGCCTTAACAATTATGATTTAAATATATTTTTTTCTTTTTCCAGCTTATTTACAAATGATTTTGCTTCAGTTGCAAAAGCTAATAGCTAATTAAAATATATATTCTCAAGGTTGGGATGATTGCTCACACATGTTGAACTTAAAAAGAAGAAAAACGTTGCTCTAGTTTACAGTATTTTAAATATGGTTATAGAATTTTCCTTCAATAATAAGTAAAAAGATTGAGAATAAGGGTGTTCAAAAAACTCGATGACACCGATCAACCCAATCTATACGGTTTGGGTTGGGTTATGGATTCAAATAAATGAAAATTCTATAGATTGAGTTTGTTTAAGGGTTTACCTAAAATAAGTTCGAGTCTTATAATTAATTTTTTAAAACTATTTTTATAGTCACCATAAAAATTATATATTGTTATGTTTATATTAATTTTATTTCATTCAATAATTCTATGTGAATTATTTGTTTTAGAATTACTTCTAGAAACAAAATTTCTAAAGTTTTTTTTTTTTTGAGAGATATTATCATTTTTTTTATACAATACTTTGAATAAATGACCAAATAATCCAAACCAACCCAACCCAAATATTTCATGGTTCGGTTGGACTGAGTTTATCATTTAATAAGGGTGTTCGGGTTCAATAAATTTACAACCCAAACAATTGAATTGAGGCTAAAAAGTACCTCAACTCAACTCATAAACCTCTTTCTTAAAAATATGAATAATCATATCTACTAAGTTTCCCAATTTGGGTTAGCACAAATCTTAACATGTGAAGATTTATTTTAATTATGTACTTTCAAATGGCAAAATTTAGTCATGTACTTCTAATAAATCTTAAAATGTATTCTCATCGTAGTCTAATGTTAGTTTTAATCTTAGGGCAAAATAATAATAGTAACAACAAATTTTTTTATTTTTATTTTTTTGAGAAAAGGGATAATGTAAATATATTTTTAATATATTTAGAGGTAAGGTCGATGGAGAATATTTTTTTTTTCGATCGAATGGAGACTATTTTTTGTAGGAAAAATTAAGCATAAACAACCGATTTGGAAAAATTTTAAGATTTCTTAAAAGTATGAGAACTAATGTAGATATTTGGGGCTCGTTTAGTATCGTTCCATTTTTTTATCTCATTTCTAATTTTTGTAAGAAATATAAATATTTTACAATTAATTATATTTCTTATTTTTTATTTTTTAAGAACATTCTCAAAATTTGTATAAAAATTTTGAAAACCACCAAAATAAGTTTTTTTCTTTTTTATTCTTATTTCTAATTTGTTCCAAAAACACAAATAGAAATATCGTTTAATCATACTTAAATTCATGGATGTTAGAATTTTTTTTTTTTGTTAAAAATGAAGAAACATAAACCAAAAATAGAATCGTTAACAAACGAGCCCTTCAACGACCAAAATGATATTTTTACCCTCTAACCTATTAAAATAGTTTAACCCAAAACTAAGATGAAAAACAATATTAAATTTCTTGGAAGCCATACGATTTGTAGGATTTTAACCAAACTTCAAATGCTCCAAAAATAAAATAAAATAAAAGATTTTTTCAAAACCTCTTTTACTGTTCAATTTTAGACAAGGAAATTATAGGATAATAATGTATTTATAAAAATTTTACGCCTAATGCTATATATAAAAATAAATATTATTCTTATGCTATTTTTGTAATTCTCTCTTTTAAAAATTAGAACGATTTTTAATATATATTTTTAAAAAACAATATAAATAAAATAGAAATGGTCGCAAAAATATGTTTTTTTAATTCGATAATGCGAAGAGGTGGGAATTCAAATCACCAACCAATCGAACACATATGCCTTAATCAACAATAACAATATTCAAATTAGGAAAAAAGTTTTTTTTAAAGAGACAAATGGCAAAGATTCAAAATTTTAAAATCTTACCAGATACATTTTCTTTAACATGATACATTTATTTTGTAAGCACTTTGGTTAAATAAATATTTATTTTTTTATTATTTTTACTTTTAATGGGTTAAAAATCACTTTCCCCTCAAAAAATAAAAATAGAAATAAAAAAAACAGAATAAAATTCAACCAAAAACTACTTATTTTCTTTTAAAAGAAAATTTCTTTTTAAGTCCTCCCTAAAGGGCAACTTTATGTAATATGTTTACCTTTTCAAGAAGACTAGCATTTTCAGCTTCCAAGACTTTCTCCTGCATTTTATTTCAACAAATAAAAAGATTATTACAAATTCTTCCTCCAACTAAAAAAAAAAATTCTTTTTTTCCCATTAAATTAAAACCCTGAAAAAAAACAGAAAAAAATAATAATACGGAACTGTTGAATCTGTTTCACCTTTTGCTTTAGTTGGCTGATCTGTTCTTCAAACACTTCCACCTGAAATATGAACATCAAGTTTATAGAGAGAGAAACAAACATTGAATCTAGTGAGAGAGAGAGAGAGAGGATTGAATCAAACCTTTCTGGCTCTAACTCTGCACACACTTTTCTCCAACTGTTGTTCAAGTTCTTGAAGTTCATCAATGGAGCAAGATCCCAGATCTTCTCCCAACATTTTCCTACAGTTCATTATTTCATCATTCAAATTAAATTCTTTGAAGAAAAGGGAGAAAAAAAAAAGTAGAAGCCATGGGAACCGTTTTGAAACTTCAAGTTGCTCTATCTTCTTCATCAGGTTTGCTGCTTCTTCTTGATTCAGATGCTCCAACTGCAAAAACATTGGTCAATGTGGATCATAAAATGTAGTTTCGTATTAAGAACTAGGAAAAGAAAATTCTTCTAATCTAGTTTGTTCTTGATAAGTGGTGAAATGTACTAATAAACCACTTAGAAAGCAACATAACATCCAAGCTTCGAGGACAAATCGCATGAACTTAAATTACCACTAAATTCAAAAGTTTATATTTGGAATCTAGGCTCGAAACTAACCTCAGACCCAATAAGTGGAACGATTTGGATGGAAATGATATTGCAGAGATTTGAATTTAGGCTAATTCAAATCAAAATACTCAAACTTATTCACCACTAAATTCAAAAGTTTATATTTGAAATCTAGGCTCGAAACTAACCTCAGACCCAATTGTGGTGGAATGATTTGGATGGAAATGATATTGCAGAGATTTGAATTAAGGCTAATTCAAATCAAAATACTCAAACTTATTAATATTTATAGATTCCATCTCAAAACCAATTGGGAATCCTTAACTTGGCTTTTCGTGGCTCTTTTAGATCTTAGCCGGATCCTATTTCTAAACCGGATGCTCGTTTGAGCTTTTAAACTCTAATACCATATTAATATTCATGGATTCCATCCTCTAACGAATTGATAATGAAAGGAGTAGTCTATTTATATTATAAATCATTGTTAGCTCCCTTATCTTTTCTTTTCAATGCAGGATCCTCAACAAAACTCGTTATCAAAATCAAAGTAATCAAGAAAATGTTTGACTCATTGAATAGAATAAAACATCACCAACATGAAACACGAACAAAAACGTTCGTACCCAACCATAAATCTTACGAATGGGTGAGTGGATGTGGAAACAGATATTCGAAAGAAACGGTATAAAAATGAAAGAAAAAGACCTGCATGTTCACAGATGAAGAATCAATGACTTCTTTGGTTTTTGCATGCTTTCGGTAACGTTCTATAGTTGCCTGCATGCTGAAGAAAAGCAGAAAAGTGGAAGGAAATTAGCCTTCGTTTCGGAAAGATATTAAAGAGGCATAAAATCAAACTAAAAGAAAAGTCTCAGAAGATAACTACAGAACTCTTTCGTCACCGAATGAGCTTAAGAACGTAGAGATCAGTAGTTATATTTCCAAATCAAAGAGTATAAAGTAAATGCATAACACAATATTAGAGAACAAATTAAAAGTTTTGAATACTTCCCACATGTCATTATCATATTGTCTTGTGACTCGTCTACTACCAATCAGATACAAATAAATAAGTCTAATATTACATTCATGTTTTTGTCTAAAGCCTTTCTTTTTCCTCTTTTGTATGTTTCTCATGTACTCTAAACGATAGTACATCTTTTTCAAAAAAAAAAAAAATGTTGACGTTATTGTACTAAAGTAAATTTAATTATTTAACTAGGCTGAGTAAAACAGAAGATATTTTTTATTTCTCACATATTTTCAGTTGCACTATAGTTAGGAGCTTTCCCACTTGCAAGGAAGGAAACCTGGCCAAAGAAGTAGTGACTTTACTCATCCTTTCTTGTGAGTGTTTGGATGTGAAAGAATATTTCTAGTTAAACATAGTAGGAACTAATATCAAAAACTACTAGAAAAGTTGATAGTTCTTGCTTTTCTTAATCTAATTAAGTTTAATATCAGATAAGTCTTGTTAATTCTAAATTTGTGAGTATTCATCACACGCTTTCAACATAACATTAATGATCTTTTTCTGAAGGATAGTCTCAAAGTGACACGCCTTCACATCTCCTCAAACTCTTTGTGCCATAACCACAAATCTCTACTTCTTAATGGGTATTAACTGTTGTTTTGTTTAGATTTCATGTTTAAAGAGCTAAGTTTGAGCATATTCCTAATCTCTTAACAAGTCTCTTTTTTTTTATTACCCAGAGTCCCAAGTGGCTTGAATCCAAGACTTCAAGATATTCCTTGAAGCCCGAACCATCTTTTTGGGACATCTCTTAACAAGTCCTTAAAGATCTCTTAACAAGTCATTAATGTTTTGGTTTTTCAGTTTACATTCTTTTTTCTCCCGTTTTTGGAACATTTTCGTGAATTAGATGAGCTACGTATGTGCAACATCATTTTTAGTCTTGTCCTGGTTTTGGTTAAGAATTTTGGACCTTAGTTTGACCTGTTAGAGTTGTTTACCTATGAATTTATAAACTCTTTCATTATTGTTTAACTTTTAAGGCGTTTTTACTTAAAAGGGATCTTACTTTCCTTCTGATGTAATTCCCCACTTCCTGCATTTTGTAAGGTCCATGTTCGCAAGACTTAAACATATGCAAATATCATCATTAGAAAGGTCTAAATTTAGGGCTAAGTTCATGTTGGAAACAATAGTCATAGAGCAAAACTGAAAATAGAAGCCATTAAACCACGCATATCCATCCATTTGGAGGAATTCGGGACATGGGTTTAACATCTTAAGCATAAAAGATTAAACATGGAGGTTTAAGGGGAGGGTTTAGAAAATCAGTGTTTAGGGTGAGGTTAAGGAACATTGTACAAGGAAGTGGTTCTAGGAGGAATAGGTTTAGGGTACAATCTAACAAATCCTAAGTCTCATCTTAAGCTAAATTCATCCAAATCCAAAGCCTCACTCCAAATACAATCACATAACATATGTATTACATATATATTGATCTCACATGATTTGGAACTAACAACCTGAGCTCAAACATAAAAATTCATTTTTTTCTTCAAGAAGTGAAGACTTTCATCTATTATCTTTGAGAGGAATCAAAACCACAAGGGAAGCTTGCTTATTTAACAAGTTTAAGAGAGCTAATAATGTGTTGAATAGAAAAGTTCTTGATGATACATTTTCATAGATCTACTTTGGGAAGAAAGATTAGAATAGTTGGAAAAGGAAGGTTTGATCTGTATGGAAGATTAGAGTGGAAGATCAAAAACCTTTCCAATTCAGAAATTGAAAGATTAGAGGGGGAGATCAAAATGTTTCTAATAATTTACTATTATCCATCGTATCTCAAAGGTCGATGGTTTAATCTTTCATCTTCGTGACTATTGAACTAGAAAATGGAGAATAATCTTTATACTAATAGAGAAATAGGAAAGGAGAATCCTATATTCTTCATTTCATTGTCTTATTCAGGAACTTAATATTTAAATTATGTAATTAAACTAGCTATATATTGTGAATGTTACGTGATTATTGATGTTTCAAAAACTGCATGAAAAGAAATCTGTAGTTCTTTTATTTTCATTTATTTTTCTATATATTAATTCAAATATAGAAATGAAGTTATACTTAAAAAATGATTAATAATTATTATAAAAAATTGATTGATAAAACATGGAAAATAATAAAATCCTATTTCTTCTATATCGAGGGTACAAATCCGAAAGACATCAAAGATTTTTCATATTAAGTTTTCTATATCTAAAAATAATTTTTCATGATGTTAGAACTCATTTCTTCTCACTCTACTCTAGCTCTTCTGGATCAATGGGACACCTATGGTGATTATTTTGTCACATGCTATACAAATTTATTGTAGATTTTCTAATTCTAGACTATAAGAACTCATGTCAATTAAAAGTATGAGTCAAACATCTCCAATCTTTTAGTAAAATATTATAGGTTCTAAAACTCAAATCACACAAAGAAACTAGAGATCTTGAAACTTACTCGAGCGAGTTTCACATATCTTTCAATTTTGGAACAACTTTTAAAAAAATATTCTTTTCGATAACATTTTTTATGTAAAAATAGTTTTAATTAAAATAAATCTCTAAAAGTTATCTAACATATGTCAAATTATCATTATCATATAATGATTCTAAAGTAATTTATGGTCACGAGGTTGAACTCTAAAATGATTAATTATTTCAAAAGTGATTTTGATTTATTACCAAATAGTTTAGATTTAAAAAATAAACATGAGCTTTTTTCCTTCCAAAATCATTTAAGAAGTTAATCCAAATCGAAGTAAAATACTCCTTGTAAAAAAAATGGAAACACATGGATTTGATCAAAGTTCATGTACTATACTTTCTCATGCAATGCATTGACTCAAGTTCATATCAAATAGTGTGTCTTTAAAATATGTATTCTACATTTTTATTATTAGTGTTAACTTTACGAGCCTCAATCATATGATGATAATAAATTGTATTTAGTGATAATTTCAGTGTTACAAAATTTCCATAATATAAGGCTTAGAAAGACATTCTTGTTTGGTATGCCTTTTGAAAAAAAAAAATACTTCTAAGTGAAATAAGTATTATATAAGTACTTTTGGAAGAAAATGAGTTAAATACTACCTCTAAAAGTACTTAAACACTCTTCTTCTTTTTTTATCTATTTTAAAAATTTCTCAAATCACTTTAGATAATAAAAAATAATAATAATCAAAAGCATCATTAACCACTCTTTAAACTCTTAACCAAACATTTCCCATTTTTTACAAACACTTTTGATGATCTATGATGATCACTTTAAAAAGCATGTCAGACACACTATAAGTTATAAAAAATAAATAATAAATAAAAACCATAATTTCCCAAAAGGGTTGGAGTAATTAAGGTTATTTGGACTGCCTGTTGGGGAGATTATTTACCATACCCTTTCTGATGTTGATATCCTGTAAGCAATGGACTTAGAAAGTTTTTTATACTTCTCCAACTTATTTTCCTCCTTTCCTACCAATAACATGAAATGAGTGCTAGCATTTCAAGTCCATGTAACTCAAAACTTGTTTCCAAACATTTCCTTATATCAATATCATGAGAAGTCACCAAAAAACACTCAAATCTATTGATATCTCCATCCATAGAGAAACTAAAGCTAAAAAGAAGCACCCTACTAAAATAATCCTTCCTTCCATGTGAAAGTTGGTCAAGGATACTAAAATAACTCTCACTAATCCTATTTGTGATCAAAGTTATCTATGATAGAGTAAATTTGTCTTACTTTTCAGAAACATATATAATACATATCTCAAATCGAAGGGAATGAATTAGTGTCGAGGTTATTAGAGTCGACATTAGTCATTGTTTAGATCAAACGCTCTCTAATAATTGCACTTAAATATTTTATCTTTATTTATATTATAGGCAGATTTCTACATATATATTTCTCTTTTTTTGATAGTGACTACTTATTAGTCAATTAGTCAAAGTGATAAGTCGTAAAGTCATATATCTGAAGTTATGTGTCAAAATATAGTGACTACCTATTTTAGAATATAACATACTACACAAGTTTCCGATCTCAAATATGGTAGGATTAGATGCTTTTAACTTAAAAAACACCCTCCATAAAATACTTTTATACTGTTAATCTTATAATACCAAAAAAAAAAAAAACTTCCAATTTACTAAAAGGTGGTTAAGTAGCAATATTTACACCAACTAAAAGCTTGTACAAAAACTTTCTCTAAAGCTGTCAAAAGAGAGGTATTTTCATTGCAGGTTCGATTTGTCGTTAGAAAAATATATGATGATGTCAATTATCAACCCATTAATTTTTTTTGCAAAGGAATCAACACATTAATTACTATTAGGGTGACATCATAGATGTTATTACTCTCCAAATCTTTATCTAATGAATATAGAAATTTTCTATATTGCATGCAATAATCTTCTATACAAAACTAATAGAACTTGCAACAAAGATTCAAGATCATTGAATCATTATAAACAACGTTAAAATGTTGTAACATTAAAATATAATCAAAGAGATATAAGTTAAATGTAGGTATAAGAAATCATATTAAGAAATTAAGGATATGCATGGAAATATTAGTGACAAATGAAAACATCATTATTTACTAATGAGTAATGATATCATATTTCTTTGGAAATCTTGAAGCCTTTATGGCTTGTTTGAAAGCTTTTATAAATGTTAATAGTATTGCTACATTCAAATCACTGTTCACAAATCCAAATTCATTAATAATAACAGATAGTCAAAAAAAGAAAACTAATAATAAAAGATAGTTATCAAAACATATTTTAACTAAATTTATATTCTAAAAAGAATATAATTTTTTAAACCAAAAAAGGGGTTTCTAGAAAGGAGCAGCCATTTCAGACTCTTGCTTCTGATATGTTATATCTATATAAGGAATCTACTGATAAATTAATACAAACCAAACAGCAAATTACAGTGTGAGCACTTAATTTATGGCTCAACATAGTACCAACCCTTTTTCACTTCTTCCAATAATTTCATTGAAAACCACAGCAAAAACCCATACTAATAGGCAAAAGAGAGAAACATTATCATTTTCCTTCTATCCAAAATATAGGACTCAGAAGGGAGAAAAAAGGAAAAAGAGGAAGATAAACAAATTTACCCCATTTATTTGAAATCAAATCACATCCTTATATTTCCATGAAAATTAATTTTCCATCAAATCAAAACATCTATGGTAACTGCATCCAGATCACTTCCATTCTCATAATTTTTAACATGAGCATCTGCTGGGAACAGTTCAAATTTTAATATATATTTTCCAAAGTGTTGTGTTCAAGTGATTCATGCAAGAAAACCCTATTTGCTATGCCATTAAAGTCAAACATATAGACATGGAAAAAAAATTTCAGATCCAACCATCCAAACTAAACGAATATTAGGCAAATAAAACAAAAAAGAACTATTTCATAGGAAAGCTCCATTTCTTAGTACCTTGAGCTTGCAAATTCGTAAAGCTTTCCTCTAGGGGAGAAGATTATAAGAGCAACCTCAGCATCACAGAGAACTGAGAGCTCAAAAGCCTTCTTCATCAGTCCATTTCTCCTCTTGGAGAAGGTCACTTGCCGGCTTGTGGCGTTCTCTATTAGCCTCATCTGTGTCTTCCCTCTCACCATTTTTGGTTCTATTGGAGAGCCCTTCACACAAAAAGAGGGACAAACAAAAACTATATGAGGAAAAAAGAAAAAACCTCTTAAAAGCATCTCATATATGAGTGAAAATGAGAGGGAGCCTCAAAAGGAAAACCCTTACCACAGAGAGGAAAACTTGAAGGTCTGTTCACAGACAGTGATTATCTAGAGGGATTTGAGATGGATCTCAAGAAACCCCCAAAGGGTAGGGAAATGGGAGGATGATTTTGCAGATCAGATGAGAGAAAAATAGAGAGAGAGAGTAAAAAGATAGAAGAAAGAGGGAAGGAGGTAAAGAAAAATAAATCCAAGGCCACAGAATGGAGCAAAAGTGGAATAGAAGCTGAGCTGATTGCAAAAGCCAAAGCCAAAGGCAAGGACCACAAGCTCCAATCTCCCCTTTGCCAAAAACAAACAAAAGATCAAAAACAAAAAGTAAGAAATAGAGAAGTTCTTCAAAACCCCAAGAACCAAGACCCAAAAACCAGTGGGATGGGATTGAAAAACAAAACTTCAAAAACCCAAAAGAGAGAGGTCAGGCCTCAGGGGCAGAGGCAGGCCATTTTTTTTTCTGGTTCAAGATACAAAGAAGAACACCCACAAGGCACACCCAGCTTTCCTTTTACCTTATTCCTTGACACCCACTTTACAATTTCTCTCTCCCCACCACTCCACAAAGAGCAAACCACCAAAAAAAGGAAAGGGGAATATTTGCAATGATACTGTAAAATTCAAAGCACTACCCAAAATCAAGGAGAGGGAAAGAAGAGCCTCATGATCCAATTTCTTGTTTTGGTAAAAAAAAGAGAAGGAAGGAGAGATTACAAAACAGAGAAAGAATATGAAAGGGAAAAGAGAGGGCAAAGTCAGAGAGAGCTGAGAAAATGAAAGTGAAATTAGAGAAAAAGAGGGGAAAATCAAAATGGGGATCGAATTGGTTGCTTCCAATTGGGGTTTTTTTTGCCTCTTTTTTGTAATCCCAGTCCGTACACTACAGCATGTTTGTGGTGAGAGAAAAACAAGACAGAGAGAGAAATACGGGCAGCGGGCAGGGGGCAGGGCAGCGGATAGTACTATGTTAGAACCACGTCCTTATCCATCCGTACGGTTTGGAAAATTGGAGTCCAATCACAAAGCAGCGCCTAATATTTTATTGGGTGATCTCTAAACCGCGTCTGCGCGTGCTTCTCACGCGCTTTTTCAATTTCTATCTATTTAATTCCAAATTTTATTATTTTTTGTGTTTCCGTTCTTACCTCAATTTTCGCTACATTCGCTCACTAATTTTTAGTGCAAAAAATATTTATAATTTTCCTAACACTCACTCATTTCGATGAAAAATTTAATATGGCTAAAGCACGAGATTAGTACAAAAATTTACGATGGTATCCTAAGTATCCCATTGTACTTTTGATTTCACCTCGATTTTTGTTATAATTTTGTTAGGATTTGGGAGGGAGAGTTTTTTTTAGTACAACAATTTGGGATATGGGGATCGAACCTACGACCTCGAAAGAATGAGTAATGTCAATTACCGTTGAACTATATTCCATATTGACAAGAAAGTTAAATTATATCTAAACAAATTTATAATGAATAATTACAAAATTATTTTGTGTAACGTCAAAATTAATTTTCTTATGTCATTGTAATAATAAAATTGGAAACATAATCCAATCATCAATTTGTTACCTTAGGTTAAGAGATAAATACTGGAATTATTTCGTAAACTAAATTCGGCTTTTGGAGATCTCAGAAACCAATTAGACGTATAAATAAAAAGTTAGGAACCAATATTAATAATTTTTTTGGTTGATTATGTAATTAGTCCTTATGATAGTGACATAACATTGAAAAAAAATATAATTTTTAAGAGTTGACCTTTTTCTTTAATGCTTCCACCTCATCATAGTTAACAAATACAATTTTATAATATGATTTTGGATCTTTTAAGGGAGCAAGGTCAGCTACAATTTTCAATTAGTATGAGGTAAATATTTAACATTTAATTGACACCAATGGAAGGAGAGTAGATAATATGTTGAAAAAATAATTAATTATGATCGAATATTTACGTATCAATTTACTTCAGAAATTAGTAGGTCATGATGTATTGATATTTCTGAAAAGATCCGTTCGTAATTTGAAAATAAAATATTTTATTCGTGGTAATTGATTTTGTTCGTGCACGAAAATGTTTGTTTAAGCAAGGAGGCGTATTCCTTTCCCGAGTCTAGTGATCTGCACGATGAAGGTAGACACTCTAATACCTAAGTCAATATTGGTCAGAGAACGTGTGTAGTATATTCATAAGGGAGTTGATCAACATATCTAGGTAACGGGTTACCAACTCCTATAACGATTAATAAGAAAGGTCAAGATTCTCTCCACAGGATCTCGGTGGCTAAACTGGTGATAGACGCTAACCACACTCAATTAAGTGTGTCCTTCCTGCACCGTTGATGGTAACGACTAGGCAAGGTCGACCTGGTTCATCCAGTGTCACCCGATTGGCCTACCTTGCTCAACTACCTGACACGTGGTAGCCTACTTTTTCACCCTCATAGCATATTTATTACTTTATTGATTAAATATATTATTTTTAAAATTATATGAATACATTAGCAAATATCTGTCGCTGTTAAACAGCGAAGCAAGCAATTAATTGTTATTAAAAGAAAAACAAATAAAATAATAAAATAAATAAGAGGAGGCAAGCAATTAATATAATAAGCAAAATATTGTGAATATTCTATTTACTCCGAGGTATAAAATATATGTCAATATTTCTATATGTCTATAGGTTGGATATCTCGACACGAGGGAATCAACATTTTCATAATATCATAATAAAATATCACTAATATAAACATAATATTAAACTTAATCAATTTTAATTTTTTTAAAAATAACGAAAAATGTTTATTTGTTATGAATTTTCTGTTATTATAATTTTTTCAAAAATATCTCGTCATTGACAATTTATCAATGTTTCTATCGACTCTTTTATAAAATGTTGAGACCTCGACATTTCTCATCCATATCGATATTTAAAACCGGATTTTTTCATATGTTTCATTAAGTGAATCCCACCCTCAAAACTATAAAAATAATTACTAATATTTAAATTGTTGATAACTATTAAAATAAAATAATCCAATTTCTTACAATTTGAGACATGTTATGAACTTATGATTAAATCATTGAGTGAAAAGTATTTGTTAGAAATTTGCCTCATTCATATTATTTGATCGCAACAAGAATTTTAAATGTCCAAAAGTGGTTGATATATTGTTAATGTGCGATTAAATAATTTATTTTTAAGTTTAATAGTTGCGAGTGAGATAATGATATACATATTAATCTATTAAACTGTGTTAAGATTGACTACTTTTTTAGTTAGGTTTTATTTATTCTATAATTTAGATTTATTTTAATATAATAAATTGGAAGAGTGAGGATTTGAACTACGACTACAACAAGAAGTACATTTCATTTACTGTCGAGCTAAGCTCGTGATGACTCGTAATGTAGATTCTAGTTGTCAATTAATTGATTAATTAATTTTGTTGTCCTTGTTTATGTAACAATTTGACTTGTGATTTATAAATATATATGCTTAATTCCAAATATTTTTTCTTTAGTTCGTTTAATTCCAAATAGATTGCATGTTCAATACGTTTGGCATGATGGGTGTTATTAATTAATAAATATTATAAAATTTACGCATGGGTTTTTATAATTGAATTATTTGGTTATTTATAAACTCTTATTTTAGTTTTTTTTTCTTTTTATCTTTTTTTAAGAACTCCTTTTGGTGGTTTTAACCATTCAATATAAACCTCTAACAAATTATTTCGGGCAAATTGATCTTTCAAAAATTTTAATTTCAACTTTATGTACTAAATTTATTCATCCAAGTTCTTATTATCACTAAATATAAAAAGATGATGTATAAATTTAATAACAATACTTTTATATATATATATATATATATATATATATAAAATCAATTGTTAATATAACAGCACTTTTTGTTGGGTTCATTTTCAATAACAGCAAACTAAATTCAATTTTGATGAGTTGCTATCAGCAGTAATAAAACACGGGTAAGTTTTCGATTTTACGAGATATGTCTATTTCATCAAATTAAAATTGATCAGAATTCAAAGAAAAAAAAGACACTAGCACTAGTTTTTAATTGAACTCTATGAGTTTTGGCAAAATTATTCCACGGTTTTATACATGGATCAAATTTATTTTGTGGAAAGCTTTACTTAACTAAAAGTGAGTTATTGGAGATTTTTACATTTCTTATTATTAAAATCAGTTGGTGAATTAGCATAAATCGGTAAAAATTACAATACCTATCCAAGTCTAAACTTAATTTTATGAAATTAAAAATTTATAGTGAAAATTGATACAACTTACCAAGTATACGGGTAAAATTTTTTTACCCAATTTTATATTATTTAGTTATTTTTTTCCTTATATATTCTTATTTCTTGCAAATTTAAATGTACATGTACTTTTCTGGTCCCACTACAATAAGGTCTTTAATACATGCCACATACTTCTAATTGCTAAAAATAGTAAGATTCTCTTATTTTTCTCATTCTTACGTATCCAAGCTATGTACTATGGAAAAAGGGCTACATAAATTTCTATTCCCATTTTACCCTTTTTTTATATATTTTATAAAGTCAACTTTCCAAAAATAAATAATAAAATGATGCTAGATGATAAATTTTATATTTTTACTTTGCCTTTTATATTTTTATTATCTTACATATATATTTATAACTAAAAATAATTATTTTAATAGATGTAATTATATATTAATTTTCAAACCCGCGAATTGTGGAGTATCTCCACTCCCTTCCAATGACTTTCTCTTCAAGATTGGATAAACATTTTGTAAAGAAAAAAAATAGCGAGAAGAATTCGATATTCATGAATGTGTAAATATTTTTTAATTATTTTTGTTTTTTAAAAAAATTGATATTCAATCTTAAAGAATTGGCTTAAGGAGAAAGAAACTTGTAATTTTTTCTTTTTACCTCTTACTTAACCTTCAGTGTTTAAACCCATCAAACTTTATCTTATATATAGTAAAATATACCAAACCAAAACTTTTATTTGCATGCACGTGTTGCAAACTAGTTTAACGAAATTGGTATATATAGTGTAATTAAAACAAGTCAAATCTACCGATTTCGTTTAAGCTCATGGTAAAGTTTAACGAAGAGATGTAGATTCTAGATTAAGACAATTACACTAGAATTTGAACTCAATTTTAAAACAATAAGGGTAAGATTTACAAAAATATGGAAACCAATAAAAAAAAGAGATTGTGGTTTGTAATTATTTCAAATTAATATATACCAAAATATGCTTTAAGTACAAAACACAAAAAGGGAAAAAAATCCTCAAGATTTGAGATAAGAGCATAAATAAAGTATGTAAACAATAATAGAATGTGAAATGTCTCTTGTTAGTTTGTTTGGTATCCAAAAAAAAAAAGGGCTAAAAATAGCTTACAAAAGATGACTTAGATTTTACAATTTATAGCAACTAAAAAGCAAAAAGTTTGGAATAAAGGGATAAGGGTGTGTTTTCAACTTTGAATGTGCTTTATCAAAAAGTGGATGCATAAAAATTATCAATAGTACTATTATAAAGCATTTTAATAAAAAAAAAAAAGTGTTTAAATAATGAATTACTTTATTATTTAGCTCTAATAATTAATTCACTAGTGTTTTTAAATGGGCTGTATTTACTTGACATTTAAAAAAAAAAAGACCCATCATTCAAATGGAACAATTAAAATTGTTAAAATATGAAATATGAAATAATTGAAAAGAAAGTGTATAGAGAAAGATAGATTAGTAAGAGAAATTGCAAAGTGCAGAGGGAGATTGGTAAGATTTATATAGAAAAGAATTTTGAGTAGAAGAGAGA